TCTATTAGGGTTAATGTGAATTTTTTACTATCTTTACTTGGGTTGATGTGAATTTTTATTATCTCTACTAGTGTTGATTTGAATTTTTACTATCTTTGCACTAGGGTTGATGTGAATTTTTACTATCTTTGCACTAGGGTTGATGTGAATTTTTATTATCTTTACTGGGGTTGATGTGAATTTTTACTATCTTTACTAGGGCTAATATGAATTTTTACTATCTTTACTAGGGTTGATGTGAATTTTTACTATCTTTACTAGGGTTGATGTGAATTTTTACTATCTTCACTAGGGTTGATGTGAATTTTTTCTATCTTTACTAGGGTTGATTTGAATTTTTATTATCTCTATTAGGGTTAATGTGAATTTTTACTATCTTTACTAGGGTTAATGTGAATTTTTACTATCTTTACTAGGGCTAATGTGAATTTTTTCTTTCTTTACTGGGGTTGATGTGAATTTTTACTTTCTTTACTAGGGTTAATATGAATTTTTACTATCTTTACTAGGGTTAATGTGAATTTTTAGTATCTCTACTAGGGTTAATGTGAATTTTTACTATCTTTACTGGGGTTGATGTGAATTTTTACTATCTTTACTAGGGCTAATGTGAATTTTTACTATCTTTACTAGGGTTGATGTGAATTTTTATTATCTCTATTAGGTTAATGTGAATTTTTACTATCTTTACGAGGGTTGATGTGAATTTGTACTATCTTTACTAGGGTTGATGTGAATTTGTACTTTCTCTACTATGGTTGATGTGAATTTTTATTATCTTTACTGGGGTTGATGTGAATTTTTACTATCTTTACTGGGGCTAATGTGAATTTTTACTATCTTTACTAGGGTTGATGTGAATTTTTATTATCTCTACTAGGGTTAAGGTGAATTTTTACTATCTTTACTAGGGCTAATGTGAATTTTTACTATCTCTATTAGGGTTAATGTGAATTTTTACTATCTTTACTAGGGTTGATGTGAATTTTTACTATCTTTACTAGGGTT